AGAGGCTGGTGGGAGGCTGAGGTGTTGGGGCTGGAGGTTGGGAGCAGAGTTGTGTGCACGGGAGGGACAGGGCTGGAGTAAGGAATGTGCACATCTGCACAACAGGGTGCAAACAGGAGACAAAAATAGTTGTTGTAGACTGCTTGGTGGTGAAAAAACCTCAGCACAGCTGCTCTGATTGAAACATGGTGGGGGTGATGGAAATCAATAGGATACTGCATTACCTGCCATTGTAACAGGTATGTTAGGTCATAAAGGAGGAACACTACATATAAAAGGTTGCTGTAAAATCTGAGGAAATTGGAGTACTGACGACCAAACAGCCACATTTATGTTGGATATAAATTCTGTATTTTAATGACACGGAGGTATTAGGAAGTTTTCTATTCCAGTCAAAAGGAAAGTTGAGGATTTCATGAGCCTTGGAAAAAAAACCAGGCTCATGCATCTTCATAAACCTGTTAGAAAAAGTGAATTCTATTATGACCATGCTATCTAGCCAGATTGTTTGGAAGGGAACTGGCTAACATTTTGGTGAGCAAACATATTGATTTACTTAAAGGATCATTTCTTGTAACAGCCTGGTCTAGAGTTAGCCTTTGCTCAGGACTAAAACATAAGACATAATTCAAAATACAATTATTGTTGAGTTGTTAAGTAGCAGTGACCACCTGGGGGTCACTGAGTTGCAGGTTCAGCATTCTCAGGGTAGAAGGTGCTGGACTAAATGTGACTCTTTTTTTCCAAAATATTGCAGGGGAGAAGATCAGAAAAATGAAGTCTTAGACTTACCACAGGTACCTGGGAAGGCTACTGGCATCCAGGTGAGGCAGAACTCTGCCATGAAAGAATGAACAACCCTAAAACTGTCGTTAAAAATACTTATAAAGGAAGGGATTTCTGGAGTTCAGGAGGATTCCACCCAAGGACAGAATCCAGCTCTGGAGGAGCAGACTGGAAGGGCCATGTGGTAGGGCAGGTAACCATGAGTGGGAAATGAAGCAGTTTAGGAGGGGCCTTGCAGAGCAGGGGGCTTTGGGGAGCCAATGCTGTCTGAGGGACATCAGAGACAAGGCTGGGGAGAAAATCTGGCTGTGCAGGACTGAAGGCAGAATTCATTTCCTGCACTACTTCATGCTGCTGAAGTGACTCCTCCACGTCACTCTGGAGCACAGGGCACGTTTGAGAGCCTGCTGTCCTTTTGGGTGGAATAAGGAGCCTTCCTCTGAAACTCAAGTGAGACAGAGATGCTGGAGCAAAGTAGGAAATTCAAGTGGAGGAGCAACAGATGTATCAAGGGGTTTTAAAAAAGCTTGGGACTGAAACTCTTAAAGGTACTAACAAAAACAGGGCTGTCAAAAACAGCTTAGTATTCTCCATGACTAGATAACATCCTAATGTCAGGTTATTCTTTTTTTTTTTTTTTTTTAATTAAAGCACTACTCAGGGCACTGGGAATTGCAGATCAGCAACCCTGAACTCCAGTCTGAGAAGGTGAAGCTGGAGTGCTGTAGCTCTTCAGTGTGTGAGAGGTAGAAAGCAACATACTTTCTGCATAGAAAGGGGGTTGGAGCAGGTGATCCCTTCCAACCCAATCCATTCTTTGATTCTATGATCAGTCTGGTTTGCTGGGGCACCTACCACAATGTCTGAACACATTGACAAACAGCAGGATAAAAAATAGGCTTGCAATGAGAAGAGAAATACCAACCACAGAGTCCTTCTTTGGTTGCAGTTGCTATTTGTCACTTGGGAAGCAAAAGGTTGACTAAAGTCTAGTTAGAGAAGGTGATTAAAGCCTTCCAGGTCTGTATCTTCAGCCTTTGAGCAAAAGAGTTCCACTCAATGGTTTGGTCAACCCAAAGTTGCTGGGTGAAGAAAGGTTCATTTTCATGAAACTTGTGTGGTGGACAGCACTAGGTCCAGGTTGCAAAGTCTGGTCTGAGGGGTGAAACAAGTCCAGAATACTGGGTAATCTAGAGAAATCTAGATTTCTCCTGTAAAGCAACAACCCAGTTCAAATTCCTGCCTTGAACTGGACTTGCAGGTCTGCCAGATGCCAGAGTGTGCCTCAGCAGCTGATATTGTGGCTGTGTTCTGTTTGCTTCTTACTAAGGAAAAACTCAGAGGTCTTGACTTTTATAATGGGCAGAAATGGAAGGAGTAGGAGCAGAGGTCTGGGCAGCATCTTCCAGCTCTTGCCTGGGTTTGTTCTTGAGGAGGGATTGTTGGTGTGTGCACATGAAGATCTGTGTTACCTCTCTTCCCAAGAGAGCCAAGAGAACCCACAGGTAACTGGAGTCAGCCACAGCAACCTTTTGCTGCTCTGGCTTAGTTTTAGGCTCCTTAAAAGTCCAGGAGTCATGGCAAGTACCCTGACTTCTCCACCTTCCCTGTCTGCAGTAGATCATGGTACCAAAGAGTGAGTGTTTTGATAAGTCATTGGAGTTTGCAATAGAAGCAGGATAACTGCAGGCACTGTGAGGCTTTCACTCAGAGTTTGTGTCTAAAGACAAGGAGCAGAGTGGTTGGGTTATACTGGAGAAATGACCCCAGCCTGGCTGTGGCAGGAAAATTGAGAAGAGCATAAGGTTTGGTGCAGTGAGCATGGGGCTGATCCTGGGATATGTGAGGCAACAGCAACAGGGGGGGGAAAAAAGTAATTTTTAATGCTTCATCAGTGTGCCAGGCTGTAAGTGAATTGTTCATTCAGGAGGAAGAACTCTGTAGAGTAAATGAAGGGAAGGTGTGTAGGCTGCCACAGGAATCCTGCACATCCTAGATGTGCTGCAGGTCTGTGGGGCTGCTGAGCAGGAGCTCCTCTGTACCACAGCTCATCAGAGCCCCACAGTGTCCCTGTGCTGCTCTCCCTGGTAATCAGGTGGTTGTCACTGGCACAACCTTTGTCCCTACCCCTAGAAATCCATTAGATTGCTCACTTCTATTTAAATTATACCAGCTGACTTTGAAGTTACTCAATGTAAAACCATCGTGGTATGCTTGCATGATAGTTATTTGATGTAAGACAACAATTTCTTGTGCTCTCTCTTTAGGAATTTGGGCTTTGAGTTTCACTGGGGTGTGTTGTATGTACCCAACTGCACAGGATCAGGCCCATCTCTGTTTTCAAATGTATTTCACATCTGCAATTAGAGATGTTCTAGGAAACAAATTAGGAGATCGAGTTGTCTGTCACAGGCTCAGATGATCATAGCGACTTGTGCTAAAGGCTCTGTCCTCGTAGAGACCTGCACGGCTGCTTTGTGTAACTGCTGTCAGAGCTCTGGTTCTGGTCCTAGCGTTTTTTATAAATGTACTGAGTAAACTTGCCTTTAAATCCTGTTAGGTACTGATAATTATCGCTGGTATTCTGTACATTAGCTCTGTACTAGCATTCACATTGGACTAGGCTTAATAGCGTGAGTGTCAAAGATGACTTGAAAAAGGAAAATTAGTTTATACCCTTTATGTGTGGTTCTACTCCATGTAGTGGGTGGTTTGTAGAAGTACCAGAAGTGCTACAACTGTCTTCCCTCTTTTACTTGCTGTGATTCTCTGCAGCAGAACATAGACATTTAAGTCTGTTTTTCCATCCTTTGGAGACACTGAGATATTGTCATGGTGAGGTCCATGGAGATACCCAGAGAGCTGGGCCCTCACACAGAGATAAGGCATCTTTTCCATTTGTTGTTTTTTATGTTTTTTTTTCTTCTGCTGTCCATCCTCCAAGTTTTTGTTTGTTTGTTTTTTTTTTTAATGTAAAAAAGTTATTCCCTCACCTGTCAGTGCAACATCCTCTAGGATATTTGTGATCTTCCAGAAAAGGTAGACAGGACTGAAATAACTAATGCCAAAAATTGCCCATGGCAAGGGAGGGAAATCCTTGTTCTCAAGGCAAACCCCATCCAGACCTTTTTTCAGCACACCACAAGGGTATAAATGCCCATTTTTTTCTTTTCCAGGTGATCTTTAAGGCCAAGAGGCAGAGGGCAGAGTTTGCCCTCGGTGGGGTTCCGGTGCCCTGTGGCGCCCGCGCTGTCCCGCAGGTCTGAGCCCCCGGCACCCCGGCATTTAGGGAGCTCCTAATGTGGGGTTGGCTTTCACCCTGTCCTCAATTTGGATCCCCAGGGCAGAAAAATTAGGACTTTGTCAGTTAAAGAAAAAAACCAAACGTGAAGCAAAATGTCTGGAGAGTTGTGTTTCCCCACAGCAGTGAGGGCCCCTCAGCACCCACTTCTGTTCAGCCAGGACGCCCGGGTCAGTCCTGCTGGGTCTTTTAGCCATCTTGACCTCATGTTTGCAAATATTATTGGTAATATAATGCTCTATGTACAAATGTCTGTGTGGCTCATGTGTATGTTTCTGTGGTTCAAGTCAGCCACAGACTTCTGGAATTTCATTGTACTTTGGTTAAATGTTGGACTTTTAACTCTTCTACTGTATGGCTTCTTGATTTCTCTTTGTCCAATGTGGACCAACTCTATTTTTGGAAATAAATAAGCATGTAAATAAAATGAATGGGTTTATGCCACTTACAAGAAAATGCTTTATTTAAAATATCCACTCAGTCTTGTATATTTTATGGTATCTCAGGGAGCAGCCGAGGCTCAGGCCCCAGCAGCCTTGTGCTGAGATACCATATTATGTACAAATTCACTTCCAAGTGCTTTTGGAAGCAGACTTCCCACTCCTGAACCAAACCCCCATAGGACCAGCCTTGCAGAGGAGGGAGGGGGGAATCCAGAAACACATAGTTTAAGGGGAGTAAGGGAAACAAACACGACTTCCCTCTCAACACAAGGCTTCTGGTTTGAGGTGTCCAGGTGCCAGAGACACTGCTGGGTGCAGGGATGCCATGGGTCGGTTCTCAGCTCCCACGTGGGAGCACATGGAGATCAGGAGCACAATGACATCTCTTTTTTTATTTATTTTTTTTTAAATTCTCCATATAAACCAATATTTACCAGTAATCCTGTGTTTCTGTTTTTGTTTTTTGGCAGACTTTTACCAGTAAATATCGGTTTATTCCTGAAACCAGAAGCCCTAAACATACCTTTGTTTATAAGGTCAGTTGGCATTTTGTCTCTCTCATTCCCCATTCCCTCCCAGTACAACCCAGCAGGTGGTTGAAAGGTACCAAGTTCTCTTTCTAGTTTTCCTGCTCTGCATCTCTGGGAACTGGAGCCCGCAGGACCTAGAGCCTTCTGTTGGTAATGTAGATTCCAGTTTACAAATTATTCTTTTACCATTTTAAATCCTGCTTTTAAGGACAGAGGTGTTCCCACCTGCCCACCACGGGAACTGGTAGAAACCCCTAAATTGCTCCTCCTCACCAAAGCCTGTGGGTAGGTCTCACTAGCATCTTCAGGCTTGGGGCTGAAAAAATAATTGATCCCAAAATATACACTAAAAACTGCCATTTCTGGTTTACTGTGAGCAGGACCGGGGGAGGGAAGGGCGGGAAAGGAGTTTGAAACTTACTTTTCTCCCCCTTTTTTCCTAGAAAGCAGATGTGACATGGGGAGGAGGGAGAGAATGTGAACATGGCCCTTCCTAAAGTCATTGTAAACTCCTCCTCCAAGGCTGGGAAAAAGGGCAAGTGAAAGATCTGATCCTTAAAAGGACATCACTGGTTGTCTGAGACCCCAAAAGCAGCTGGCGATTTTTAAGGACTCAAATTGCTTTTGGTTTATCCCAAGACAAATTGACTTGGGAATGTTGAAGCCTCCTTTTTTCCCCACTTGTATTTGCCACCCAAACACTGCACATTTTGGTAATACCCCAGAAACAGAGAACCTGATGAGGGATAGAAAATGAGTTTACTGCACAGTCCCTGCCAAATTTTTTCTCCCAAGCAAACAAAATAAAAAAATTTTAAAAAACCCTCAACCCAAAGCCCATTCCTGACCCTCCCCAAAAAAAAACTCCTAAAAAAGCAAGTCCAAGAGAATCTCAAATGCCCAGCCTGGTTCTGTCCTCCATGGTTGACAGGGGTGTTTTTGGCATAGCTGCAGCCCAACCATGTCCCTTTAAGGAGCACCGTGGCTCGTTTCCTCCTCACCAACCCCAAGCTGAGGTTCCTGAGAGCTGATCAGAGCTCCTGCAGCCTTAGGTGGAGTCCAGAGTGAGGGGAGCCCTTCCAGCTGTGCACTTTGAGCTGAAAACTACCTTTCCTCCCCTTTTGCAGCCTGGGTGGTTCTGATTGCTGGCAGTTCTGTAATACAACCTTAATCTGAGCAGTTGAGGCTGGTCCTACCTTATCTTCAGACGTCTTGCGGAGGACTCCTGTTACCAGTTTGGTACTCAAAAGCTCCACCCCACCACCAGAAGTCACTTTTTGTTTTTTCCAAAGGCAGTGATAGCTCACCCTCTCTAGCTCTAATGGAAAACCTGATAATTGCAATGCAACTTTCTAATAAAATTGTTCATATATTCATAATTCCGTTGCAATCCCAAATTGGAGAAGAGATCTGTTAAAGGTATATATTAGTCTAGATTTTTCTTATTGTAAATACTGTAATTTTATAATACTGTCAATATTTTATTAACTTAGAAATATTTAACAGAGTTTAATCTATGGTAGTTGATTCATTTATAGGTTTATGTTGCAGCCAATTACATTCTAATGTAAGATTAACTTTCAGCATGTAAACTTTGAGTGAATATATCTTTGGAAAGATTAAGAGAGAAAACTCTCACTCTTAATATGTAGTATTTATCCCCAGTTCCCAGTTGGGAACGATTTAATGAAATATTAGGAGGTTTTGAGAGCTCATGAATCTAATAACTGCAGTTGGATTTGAAAACTTGAATTTTGAGATGTAAAAGTGAAAAAGTGAAAAAGTTTGTTTCAGTACCTGACCTCTCTAGCACAGAAGTCTTTATTTTGAGCAAAGGGACACTGTCAGTTCAATTTTAGTTTCTTGCTTTTGGGGGGGAAAAGAAACCACAGAATGCAGCCCTGTGTGAATTCCTTGTGGCTCGCAAGGGAGCAGCTCCTCTCCCGAGGCTCTGTGTGCCCGGCCAGAGCAGCTCCATCCCCGCCCGCCCCAGCCCGGCCCCGGCCGCAGCTCGGGGAGATGGAAAACGTGCACAAACCTCAGACTTGACTTCATTTTTGACCAAAGCCGTTTGCTTTTTAAAAAATTGAAATCTCTCTCTCTCTTTTCACCTGATGGTGTCCCTTTAGCATCATAAAGATGTTCATGTTCTCTGAAAACCGTGAGAAGTGATTTTCTTTTCAAGGCAGGGGAGAATTGGTCTGTCATTACAACTTGCATAAAAAATACCAAAAATATCTTGAGGGTTTTCACAGGCGTTGGTATTTTTTGAGTGTAAAAGTTAATCTTGATTAGAGATGTGCCAATCTTTACTGCTTTCCTGTAGTGTTGTTACACTTAGGCATTTCAGTTCACTTACAAATATATACTGTAACAGTATACTTTGTACAGATTTATTTAAAATTTATTTGAAAACTGAAATAAAGTAGGCAGAAAATAAAGATATTTATTTTTCATTTGACTATGTAAGAAGGTATCATTCTTTTGGTTTTAGTGCACTGGTGTACCAAGCCTCAGAACCACTGCTTTCTCCAGCTCATAGGATGCTTTTCCAGACTGTGGATACGTGTATGTGTACTGCTGTGTTGATAAGTAAATGCCAACGATGGAGTTCGTTGCTTTTATACATCCCAAAGAGAAGTTCTCCACCGTTCCCTGTCTGTTTTCTGACCGAACAGGCATGTGTTTGTGAACAGTGTTCACGCCAGCTCTGCCACCCCACCCTCACATCAGCTCACACCAATGCCAGGATGGGAGGAGTTGCCTGCGTACCTTCCCCAAAACACCCCGGGCCGCAGTGGCATCGTCAGGGAGCAGTTCAAACCTGTGTCCTTTGGGCTTTGTGTAAAGCAAATGCAGAACAAGAAAAATCGAGATGTTAAATCCATTAGAAAACCAATTCCTTATTGTACAGTAGTATGGAGATCTCTAGTCAACCTGCCATTAATAATAGATTCTTATTTTTTGAATGATCTATTTAAAAGAACAGCAAGCATTGTATTTGCTAGTAAATCTGAAGTGTTTACATGGAATTACTAAATAAATTATTTGATCTAAGATGGCTCTTATCAGTGCTGATTTTTAATAATGGAAATTCGGTTTGGCAGCTGCTTTTTTAGTTCGAGCTGTTCTTTAAAATCTTCCAACGCAGGTTTTTGGGTTTTTTTTTTTTCATTGCATCCTTGTGGTTCAAATTAGGTTCTGAGGAAGAGGCAAACCACGCCTCTCCCTGCAAGGCCTGACAGGAGTGCTAGCTCACGTTTTCCAACCCTTTCCATGAGGCTTTCCCTTCACATCCCAACCAGCTGAGATGAACAGGATGCTGAGCCCAAAGCCCTGCAGCACTCACTGCTGCTCGCTGGGCTGGGGCCTGGAGACACAGGATGGGTTTTTACAGCAGAAAGCTTTAGGATAGAAGTAGAACATCCTCCTGTGAGGTAATGAGTTGTCACACTCAGTTCCAGCGAGGCTTGGTCCTGCTTCCTGCTGCTCCAAGGCTGCTGGAACACCCTGTGCTCCCGGCCCTGTCCCCAGCCCAGGGACCCTGGGTCTGCAGGCAGTCACCAGAAGCAGATGAAGGCTTTGCATCATCAGCAAAGCCAAAGGCAAATTCAGGAGCTCTCACACCTTCCAAGCCCAAGGGCCGCTCTCTGCCGGCTGTGCAGCCCCCAAAGCTCCCGGAGCTCTGGGCTGGAGGATGGAGCCGGTGCTGCCCTGCCTTGGGGCTCCCTCCTGCAGGTGCAGAGGCTGGATGCAGAAATCCCCGTTGCAGGAGCAGCACAAGAGCAGGCAGGCGTTGCAAATGCCGAGTCTGGCCACACCGTGTCCCCCTCCAAGCGCCGCAGCCGCTGCTTTTCTGCCTGGTGCTCAAACCTGGGGAAAATGAAACCATCAATAATGCACCTGTCCCCGCAGTGCCGCTCCCAGCCTGGCGCGGACCAGCGCTGAGTCACCCCATGTTTAATTCAACGCTCTCAGCGCCACAGCCCTGGCTCCAAACCTATCCAGTGCTCGCATTATGCACCAGCCGAAATTCTTGTTGGACATGGATTTCACGCTTCGTGTTCAGGGCAGGATTCCCAGCCCCACCCCACACTCGGAGGCTCAGACCCTCTCTGTGTACGTGGACAGTGCCTCCCCCGGCCTTCCCCTGCCCCTTCCCTCTCCTCTTTCCCTCACTGGTTTGGAAAGGTTTGAGATATCCGTCCCTGGGCCCTGCAGCACCACGCCAGCTCTCCCTGGGCTTTCACTGCAGCAGCTTTCACATCAGACCACACTGTTTCCACCAGAAATTATTCTGCTCTCTCTTGCTCCTCTGAAGAGCATATTTACACACATCTCTGTCTCCTTTGTGAGCTAGCCCATGGTTATGAGCAGTATATTCCTAGAAACTTGCTTTCTGGTTTGGGGGGAATAGAGCACGCTGATGAAATGGCTCCATTTGCCTGAGTAACATCAGGAAACTCACCTGGGCCAGAGCTTCTCCAAGCTGATACCCACTGCCCAATGGTGGGTGCTTGAGAAGAAGCAGGAAACAGCTGCTCTACACCTTGACAAGCCATGAAAGGCCCTTATTTTGGAAGAAAATACTTCCTCTTTAGCTTAATTTCCCACTCCAAATCCGCCACTCTCTCTATAGCACACAGGAACAACCCTCAGCATTGATCCCACTGCCTCTCATGTCTCCACTGCTCATTTTAAAGCTTAAAGCAAAAAGCAAACTTAAACATCAGACAGAAACTCTGGTAACAAAGTTTTGGGGTTAGTAATTGCTCAAATTTGTTTTCAGTGGATGGGGCAATGCTCCAGTTACTCAGATAGGGAGCATCCTGAACTGGCCTTGCCTTAGGATGGCTCCCAACCAAAGCAATTCCTTCCATGCTGGTTTGGTTGGCATTGCAGAGAACCTGTGATTTTTCTGGGAATTGGCTGAAGTAGGTTATTGAAGATAAAAAGAAATGCCCCAGGGTAGCATTCCTGACCTAGGGAAACAGAGAAGGTATTTCTGCTGCTTCCACCACTGCTGCTCACATGGAGAAGTGACTCAAAAGCCAACTGGTAGCTGCCCAATCCCTCCCAATCCAGCCATGCAGGTGTTGGGAAGAGAAACTGCTCTGGATTTTCAGGAATGCATATTTGCAATCAAGAGGCATTGCCATGAGCTTGATCCATCTCCTATGAGCTTCCCTTTGAACCCAGCAGAGCATGGGAACTGTGAAAGGAATACTTGAATTATTTTGTCCTGGATTTGTTTCTCCAAGTCTAAAATGCAGAGATGCTGAAAGTGGGGAACTTTATAATATGTACAATATTCCAGCTGGCCTGGAAATCAAAAGCTGAGGCAAGGACAGAGGGTGATTTCTGCTGCCAGGAAAGGAGGAAGGTAGCGTGACTCTGTGACTTTTGGGGAGCCTTTGCTCTGCACCCCCTGGGCAAGCTGGGACCCAGATCCAGGGCCAGCTGCCCCAGAGCCTTTGGGGGCAGCTGCCTGTCCCCAGGGACTGCTGGGGAAACTGTCCCCATGAGGCAGCCAAAGCTCAGTGCCAAGGGATGCCTGGAAGAGCTTGGCCTGCCAAGGATGCCCTGGGAGAGCCACAAACACAGTGGGAAAGAGGAGGGGGCTGGTTTGGAGCAGCAGAACCCAGCTCAGCCCTACTGACCCTACCACAGACATTGCTTCCCTGTGCCTCCCTTTGCTCTTCATCCCAGAAGTGCCTCCCTGAGCCAGCCTGCATCCACCACAGCCACAGCAAACGCTGCCAGGAGTGACCAGAAGGACTGAACCCTACTAAAACTGGAAGCGGGAGACCCCCAAAGTGCTTCTCCCTGTGTGAGACAGACAACAACAATGCCTGCAATGTCCAGCACAGCTCACAGCCTGCAAGGATCCCCAGCTGAGGTTTTTCATCTTGGTCATGGATTGAACCTGCAGTGCATCTCCCAGCAATGGTCATGGAAAAGCACGCTCTGCCTGCTGCACTGGCTGAGGGCTGGACTGACATCCTGGCCATCACAAGGGCAGCCCATGGCCCCATGTAGTGCTGGAGGAGCTGCTCCAGCCCAGAGTGAGCAATTCCTGCTCCCAGAGGCTCCCTGAGGGAAGTCAGATTTGCCCCCACCAGCTGGTGATGCTCCCCCTCACTTGGCCAATCAGGGAATCTATCCCAGGATAATCCAATGCAGCTGAAAGACCCTGTTGCTCCCCCCCCCAAAAAAAAAAAATAACCACTAGCAGCAATAGAGCAGCTGTAGCTGCCCCATACCTGGGAGTGTTCCAGGCCAGGCTGGATGGGGCTTGGAGCAGCCTGGGATACAGGAAGATGTCCTTGCCCATGGCAGTGAGGAGGAGCAAGATGAGTTTAAGGTCCCTTCCAAACCCAAACCACTCCATGATTCCATGAACAGCAACAGCTTTCCCTGCATCTGGTGGCTCCCCCTGGCCTGTGAGGGTTTGCCCTGGCTCACAGCAGACGCTGAAGTCCCCACAGACTTTGTGCACAACACAGTGCCCTGCCCAGGGCTGCAAGAAAGGAATGTGCCCCCAAAACCCCCCAGCCCAGCCCTTTGGTGGGGGCACAGCACAAAGGGGCTGCAGGCACCTCCTCACTGTGCTGAGCACTCTGAGAGTAACACCATGTGCAGGGTGAGCTCAGTCCATGTGGGGAGCAGCAGGGGTGGAGGGAATCCCTGTGCCAGCTTTGCTGTCCCCTGGTCCTGCTTCTCCTTCCAATATCCCATGGCACTAAGTGCTCCTAATCTTGCATTTTCTGGGGTGAATTGCCCTTCATTTTCAGCCTGCCGGCTCAAGGATTTCTCAGCAAGCTGCTGCTTCTCTGGGATAGAATTAGTGACAGTGGGGACAGCAGTAGTAATTATTCAGTGACCTAGAAATGACCTTTTGATATTAAAAACCCATGGCTCTGCTAAGGGCTAAACATTTACAAACCTAAAGAAGGTCCTGAAACCCTGAAAACATTTGGGCAATAGCAAAACACCTGGGAAAGGTGCTCAAGGAGACAGAAGCCCCAGCAAATATCTCAGTGAGTGAAGGATCCTGTTTGGAGCCAGGACATGTACCCTGGAGCCCTGCTGGTGTCACAGCCTGTGGTGACCCTGTCCCAGCGCTGGGACACAGGGATACATGGCTGCAGGAGCAGCCCTTCAAGGCTTTTTGGGAAGCAGGAGGGATTACCCAGTCCATCCCCCAAAACAGCTGTGGGCACACGTCCTGTAGATGTGGAACTGCTGGTGGCACCAGCTCTGCCCCATTTGTCAGCCTTACAGCCCCCAGACCTTCCTGCCCATGTGCTGGCACCACCCTGGGAGAAGATGCCATGAGGAACAGGCAGGAAAGAGAATTTCTCACCTCCCATGGTCTCTTGGTTGCTTCCAGCCCTCCAGCTCCCAGTGCCACTGGACTGGGCACACCCTGGGCAGGGTGTCCTGAGCTCTGCTGGCCTCACACAGACCCACCCCCTACAATGTGGTGTCCTGCCCTGCTTTGGGCCGTGATGGGCAGTGGGATGCCTGGTGAGCTTCTTAGCAGATCTCCTAAGATCTCCTTAAACTCCCACCTGCTACCCAAACCCCTCTGGGGAGGAGGAGATGAACCCAGGACTAGGAAACTGGTGACCTGGGTGTCTCTCAGCTATTCAGCCCCTGCTGAAGGGGAAATCTCAGTCTCAGGGATGAGTCAGGCAGCCCAGATGAAGGATAAATTTCTAGCTCTCTTTTTCACTTCATACCACAAATGTTTCCAGTGAGGCTTCTCATGACTCCTGGGCCAGCACCCCAGCTCAGCCCTGAGGCTCAGCCCAGTCCTGCCAGGAACATGTGCAACTCAGGTCCTGCCAGGTGAGCAGAGCTCCCAAACCCCCTTGCAGGTGGTTGGAAAGGTGAAGCCTGAGCCCTGCAATGGGCAGACACACACACAGACCCTGCTGGGAGCTGGGGCTGCTGGAGCTGAGTGAGGGCACCCAGAGCAGCACTGCTGGGTGGAGCTGATGCTCCTCTCAGCCTCTCCAGAAAGCTGTGCCTGAGGAAGAGGAGCATGAGGAAG